TGTGCGCGCCCCGCGGGCCCTCTCTAGCATTCCAAATTGTGCAGAAACCGGCTGGTGGCGGCTCGGTGGAGGAGCGCCGGCCTGGCGAGCGTGAGGCCAGCGTGGGTTCGAGTCTTCAGCACCGCATACGCGGGAAAGCCACAAGTGGCGCAGTGGCTCAAGTGGTAGAGCGCTCCCCTGGAGCTCAGAGAGGCTCAGGGACAGCGCCCAGGCCGAGTTCAAGGCCCGGGACTGGCAAAGAAAAAACAAAAAACCAGTGCCTAACCACCACGGTTTAATAGAAACCAAACCTTTCCTCTATGCTCAAAACATTGCAGCAGTGCCGCGTCCAGGCCTCCTCAGCCCCGCAGAAGTGACCGTGCACTAAGTACTTAAAACTCAAACCTGCACATGGGCACAACACGCTCAGAGATTTCAACAATGACGTTTGACACCAAGTTTGCTTTCTTGAAAATCTACCCCCCCTCACCCATATATAGACAAGTACTCTACCACGCAGCTGCACCCCAAACTCCGGTAATTTCTGCAAAGGCAGTGTCTGTGAACGGTAGCCATAGCCCCATCAGTATTATTTTTCCTGTGGTACTGAGGTTTGATCTTAAAAGAGCTTATACTTACTAGGCTGATACTTTATCACTTGGCCCATATTTCTAGGCTGTTTAATTTTCCAAAGAGTTTTACTATTGCCCAGACTGGCTTGGAACATAATCCTTCTATTCTTGAATGCATTCAAATATATATATATATATATGTATATCTTGAATATGAGTGGGGGGGGGGAAAGGTTATTTATTACCAGTCCTGTGGCTTGAATCCAGGGCCTGGGCTCTATTCCTCAGCTTCTTTTGCTCAAGAATAGAGCTCTACCACTTGAGCCATAACACCACCTCTGGCCATTTCGGAATAGGTTATTGGAGATGAGAGTCTCACAAACTTTCCAGACTGGGCTGGCTTTAAGCGATCCTCAAATTCCAGCTTCCTGAGTAGCTAAGGTGACAGGTGCTAGCCATTGGTGCTTGGGCTATTTATCTTTTCTGTGTGCTGGTATGGGGCTTGACAAGGCCAGGATGCTGCCCTGAGCTTTTTTTTTTTTTTTTTTTAATCAGGGCTAGTTGATGCTCTACCATTTGAGCCACAGCTCCACTTTGTACTTTTTGTGGCTAATTAGAAATAAGTCTTGTGGACTTTTTCTGACATTGCTGGCTTTGAATCAGGACTCTTAGATCTCAGCTTCCTGAGTAGGTAGAATTACTGGTGTGAGCCATTAGGTGAAATAAAACGTTATTGAAACCCGAGCTTCTTAATCCAAGAGTTAAAAATGAAAATACACTTCAGAGCTAGGAATGTGGCTTAGTGGTAGAGTGCTTGTCTAGCTTGCAATTGAAGCCCTAGGTTCGAGTCCTCAGTACCACAGATAAAGCCAGAAGTGGCGTTGTGGCTCAAGTGATAGTGTTAGCCTTGGCAAAAGAAGCTCAGGGACAGTGCCCAGACCCTTAGTTCAAGCCCCAGGACTGGCAAAAAAAAAAAAAAAAAAAACACGCAAAACACAACATTTCACACATCTGAGTCCAGTGGGCTTTTTTCTTTATTCAAGTAAACATCTGGATTATACAATACATGATCATGGATCGCCCGTGGCAAAGTACTGTAGTCTGGTCCAGTGCAACCTCCTGGCCTCTCCTTGATTGACCCGGATACCCGTCACGGCTTTCCACAGCAGAGCTAGTGCAGCGCCACGCCCACTCTTCTTCAGGTGCTGGCTGTCAGCCTTCGGCCATTTTCTCCCACCCAGTTATCCTCCATCACTTACAAAAACCCCCGCTCTAAATCCAACCTATATTATAAAATTCACAGGAGTCAGTAAGGTTTTTCATACGAACATAAAATTATCATTACTATTATCATTGTTGTTGTTTTTTAAATCAATTGTGAGGCTTGAACTCAGGGCCTGTGCTCTATCCCTGAGCTTTTTTGCTCAAGGCCAAGCACTCTACCCCTTGAGCCACAGCACTACTTCTAGTTTTCTGGTGGCTAATTGGAGATAAGTCTCTAGGACTTTCTTGTCTAGGCTGGCTTTGAACCATGATCCTCTTATCTCAGCCTCCTGAGATAAGAGGTGTGTGCTTGAAGATAAATACTAAGACTCATACCTTCATCTCTTTGTTCCTAATTTGGGAGGACTTAGACAATTTTAAAAGAGTTAGAGTAACACCTGATACAAAATATTCTGAGAACCTTACCACCCGGTGTGAATTTGTTAATGGGCTCAAAGTTTAATTCTCTTGGAATGGCAATATTCCACTGGAATGAGTTTATGTAGAAAACAGAAGGCTGAGCTTCAACAAAAGGACAAGTCATAGCTGATTTGGCATAAAGCAATTACGAGATCTTTTCACCAGTAAAGTGCTTCATTAAAAAACTCCCCCGCCACATGACTTAATTTGTCAAAGGCACAGAAATGTTCATTTCACTGTTAAAATGTTACTTTCCAAAAGTGTTATTACTCATTTAAATTACATTCTGTTGGAAAGTTTACTGTTTTTTTCATAGTAATTAAAACAAGTGCTTGAAGAATATTTTATTTTCAAAATGCCATGAACATAAATAAGTACAACACTAAATCTGATCCTCTCATTAGCTAGCTGTTTGCTCTGTTGTACTTATAACAAAAACCTGTCACCATCACAGAGTCAAAGTTAACAAGGAATCAAAGTATCTAGAAAAGGGTGGAAGGACTGCGGAAATCAATAAATTAAAAAAAATCATAGTTTTCATTTTATAAAAAATAGTTTGAATAAGTCTTATAAATTTTTAATGATTACAAAAGCAGAAAGTACACTTAAAATAGCATTTTCTTCCTTTTTTTTTTTAAACACCTTTGTACAATATGGTCATGGTCACAAAAAAAACACCTAGGTTATGCTTCTGGGGTCTACATTTTCTTCCTATCAAATTTCACATAAATCTAACTGGCTAACAATTCAAATAGGATGTTAACTTCCAGCGAGGCTCAACCAGTTACAGTCAGTTCCGAGTATCGAGCGAGCTGCCTTGCATTTAGTATACTGTACCCAAATTTAAAATACAGCTCAACAACAGGAACCAACACCAACACTTGGCTGCAGGTCAGCGCTGGGCTGCCAGTGAGAGTAGGCCTCATCAGTACAAGAAAGTCATGACAGAGCCCATTTCCTGGCCTTCAGGAAATTTTAAATACATTAACAAAGCAAGGAAAAAGTATGATAAAACATACAAAGACATCTCTACTTTTCAACCATTTGGCATTTTATGTAATTTCCTTGTTTAAAATAATATTTTATAGTCTTATACACTGATTATCACAGCTCTCTGAACAAAACTAAGCCTAGTTACCTTCTGGCATGTCTGCCTGTTGTGGCGCATTAATTGTTCCTTTTGCACTTCCAGGAAGATGGCTCCTCATCCTGTAACTTTTTAAATTTTGGACCAAGAAAGTACCACCAACCAAATCCAATAAAAACACAGATAATGGATTCCACATAATAACCATCCAGTGCTGTAACACACGAGCCACCGAGTTTTCTGCAAAGCTATAAAAATAAAATTATAATGAATAATCCCATTTCAAAATAAAAGTATCCAGCAATTACTCTACTTTAAAAGATTTATGCAGGGGCTGGGAGGGTGGCTCAGTGGTAGAGCGCTTGCCTTGTATGCATGAGGCCCTGGGTTCGATTCCTCAGCACCACATAAGCAGGAAAAAAAAAAGCCGGAAGTGGTGCTATGGCTCAAGTGGTAGCATGCTAGCCTTGAGCTGAAGAGCTGAGGGACAGCACCCAAGCCCAGAGTTCAGGCCCCACGACCGGACCCCCCCCAAAAAAATAAAAGATTTATGCAATTTAAGAGACTTATCATGAGACATTTGTTAAAAACATCCCAATATTTTACTTCCTTTAAATGGCAAACTATGCTAATGTGTCTTAGTGCTACAGATCTAAAATAATTTTGAGTTCTTGCCATAAACAGTACTTATTTTCAAAACGCAGTCTTTTCTGCTCTGAAATGTGAGGAAGTTGCCAATGACTGTTCTAGAAGATTAATGTTAATCTGAAATAATTTATGGACAAACCATACTTACCACTCAGTTTCAGTGCAATTACTAGGAAACCCACGGAATGTTCTCTTTTCCAAGATTCTCCGAACTTACTGTATCTCTATAAACGCACTGCCCCACAGTGATCCCTGAGGAGGGGAGGGCTCCTCTGCTGAGAGGTCCCTGTAGTCACAGGGACAAGTTGTACATTTCTATATAGAAACTACAGACACATGTGACTTTTCACAAGACTCTTCTCAGAGGCAATGGGAAGACGAGCATCCTACCATGAGCCCAACGTCAGCTGATTCTGCAGCATACTCACCTCGACAGCATCAGGTGTCCGGCAGTTCTGGTTGGATGCTCCCACACACTCTTTCACCGTGAGGGGATCCACCAGCCACAGAGCCACCGTGGAAGGCCAGTTCCCTCCTAGATTGGACACGGTATTCAGAAGGGTCATGTAGGTTCCTCCAATGAGTGGATCGCTAACCTTGGCATTGAAAGCCATTATGGAAACATACATGCTGTACAATGTAACCTATGGGAAAAATAAAAACCTTTAGCAGGGTGCTACAGAAACCCTGCTTGAGGCGGTGCTCCTCTGAACTTCTCTCCAGAGGTTTCTAGAGAGGAGCTACAAGGCCAAATGGGATGCAGAGATGTGAACTCATGCGCCACCAAAGGCTCCTCACTAACAGCACAGCAGACAGGACTTCTCCAGGGCCCTCCAGGGGCACATGGGTCCTGACAGCCCAGATGTTTCCTCAGAACTTGCTGGAGGAAGAAGCTGAGTCCTGGCTACCCCATTTCTCTGTTCCTGACCTTGTACCTTTTCTCCATGAGCACCTGATTGGTGCAATTTCTCTAGCTCACTCTGAGAGCTTCCCTACTGAAATCTAAAGCTAAAGGAGTAACATTTGTTTATAGCAATCAACCTGCTCTCCTGTATCTCCATGCATGGGCATGTGTTACCTAAGCATGTGAACCTGGACTATCAACACACATGTGGATACATATCTGAATATGGGCACAATGACTATAAACATACGGTCAGTCGAGATGCACTAATACTTCTAATTGTATAGCAATTGTATAGCAAAAAAATAAAACAACCCAAACTACTAAGATTAGCTGATAGCTACTTTTTGGTTCATTTAGGAATTGTATGCCCATAACTTCCAAAGTCTGTAGTCTGGGCTCCACAGGAAATCTGCCTTAACAAATGGCAGCAACTGTACCCAAGGACACAGCTCTTTGTGTCAGTCTGAGGGTCCAGAATGAGCAGCTGCCTACCTGAGGCTGGAGCAGATGGAGACCACATTTGGAACAAAGAGAGGTAGGCTTAACATACTGCTGCCAAAACTACAAATGTTAAGTTGTAATGTAACACTGAAGTCACAGTCTGAGGCCTTTAATCCAGTAGCTCTCGTGATTTCTCAACTTCTTCAGAAAGAACACACCATGGATACAACTACTTAGGCAAGAGTAAAATCAGCTGGGGTCTGCGTGGTGGTTCATACCTGCAATCCCAGCTGGAGGTGAGGCAGAGGTCAGGAAGCTCACACCTCAAGGTCATCCAAGCAAAAAGTTAGTGATACCCTATCTCAACTAACAAGCTAGCATGGTGATTCACTTCTACAATCCAGCCACTCAGGAGGCTTAAGTAGAAATACTATAGTCCAAGGCCAGCCCCGGACAGAAATGGAAGACTGTCTGAAAAATAACAAAAACAAAAAACAAAAAACACCCCCCCCCCCGCAAAAAAAAAACCCAAAGCAAAAAAACCAACCAAACAGAACAAAAACTGCTGGGTTTTGGCTCAGGTGGTACAGTGCTTGTCTAGAAAGCCCAAGGCTCTGATTTCAAACTGCAATAGTGCCAAAAAGAAAAATATGTGGAAAGTTAACTGGTTCTGGAGATAATTGTGAAATGTAACAAATTCTTGTTGAATGAAAAATTTAAAACTCAATGTCAAAAGACCCAAGACCAAGATTCACCACTGAATTTTATCCTCATTGTGAACTTCATGTTTAAATCTTAAATGCTGTTTTTGTAAGTGAAGTGTAGGAAATGTCTGTGCTGTCTTAGCTCGGGAAGGCTGCTTACCTGGTGTAGGGCATAGCTCAGCAGCACCACAGCGTAGTAATAGACCGGGAACCCGCCCTGGTGCTCCACTCTGGGAGTCCACCAGACCAGCAGGGCATACTCCAGCCCGAGTAATAACCTAGGGGGAAAGGAACCGGGAGTAACCACGTGCGAACCACGAGTGCCTACCACGCAGGTGGTATCAGAGCCACACCATCTCTGCACAAGCTCTCCTTAAGCCAGTGGTGACACTGGGGTTGTTCCTCATGCTAACTGCTCTTTTATTTTTGGTCAAGTCGTAGGGCTTGAACTCTGGGCTTGGGTGCTGTTCCTGCGCTCTTCAGCTCAAGGCGAGCGGTCTACCACTTCAGCCATAGCGCCACTTTCGGTTTTCTAGTGGTTTATTGGAGATAAGAGTCTTACGGACTTTCCTGCCCGGACTGGCTTTGAACTGAGATCCCTGACCTCAGCCTCCTGAGTAGCTAGGATTATAGGCATGAGCCACGGGCACCCAGCTGCTAACCACTCTTCTTAGTGTTAGGTCCTCCGGAAGTGATGGCCAGCCCCTGGGTTCTCTCCTACACTCTTGAAGTCCCCCGCCCAGCACCTGTAACTCGGGCAGCTGGCATGCTTGGGGGCAGTGGGTGGTCCCCAGGCTCTTCCTCGGCTTCCCCCACACCTCCATCTGTTGCAGGCCTGCAGTTTGGTTTCTCCCTCTTCTAATGCTTCGATAGGCTTCCTCTGGCACTCACCTGTAGGGCATGGCTTTGTAGAACACGTTCAGCGGCTGAGGACCGGCAGTGTACCTGCTGATGATCAGAGGCAGCACTATCTGCAGAGGAACCATGGGCACAGCCAACAGGGCGAGGTGCTCCTTGGGCACACCTTCTTCCACCAGCTTCAGTCCTGTCACTGCATCTGCGGCTGAAAAGCCAATCTGCAACGGAAACAAGCAAGCATGTGGACTGGTGCTCTACACTAGGAACCCGGCCTCACTGTCCAGGGAGGGAGCAGCCAAGTCCTAAAGTGAGGGTCCTGCCTCAGCCTGCACATTACCCAGTGAGAGCCACAGCACCTAACCCCGACAGCAACTACCAGCGGCTCAACTAACAACTGAGCTTCTACTTCAAAAAAGTCCAATGTGTTATATAAAATAAACACTTACAAGCTTGTGTATCATAAGTTTAAAAGAAAAGCCTTTAGGCTGGGTACTGGTGACTTACACCTCTAATCTTAGCTACTCTGGAGGCTGAGATCTGAGGATCATGGTTTGAAGTCAGCTAAGGCAGGAAAGTGTGACTTTCATCTCCAATTAACCACCAAAAAGCTGTAACTGGAGCTGTGGCTCAAGTCATAGAGCCAGCCTTCAGGTAAAAAAGAAAAAAAGTTAATGTTAATCTGGAGGCCTGGAGTTCAAGCTCTACCACCACTCAAAGCAATTTGATCCGTTTTAAACTTCCTAGTTTCTTATGAGCTTAGTTTTGTGAAAGAGAATCTTGTTCTTTGGGTTACAAGTTTAAGTTACTTATAGATAAGGGTACACAATGTACACCAATGGCTCTGAAACATTTTAAAAGAATAAAGGAAACAGTTAAATGCTGTCAATTAAGACTCTAAAGGGGGCTGGGAAGGTGGCTCAGTGGTAGAGCGCTTGCCTTACATGCATGAGGCCCTGGGTTCGAATCCTCAGCACCACATAAGCAAAAAGAAAAAAGCCGGAAGTGGTACTGTGGCTCAAGTGGTAGAGTGCTAGCCTTGAGCTGAAGAGCTGAGGGACAGCACCCAGGCCCAGAGTTCAGACTCCCCCCCCAAAAAAAAAGACTCTAAAGGCCTATCTATGAGGTTCCCTTGCCAACAAACTTTCAGTATGAAAGTATATCATTTTTTAAAAACAAATTATACATAATATATAGAAATATATATACATAATATATACAAATAATAACCATTTTCCCCCCTATATTAGGCTCTGTCCCTGAGATTTTGTGCTCAAGGCTAGCATTCTAGCATTTGAGCCACAGTTCCACTTTTTTTTGTGGATAACTAGAAATAAGAATCTCATGTTTTGGGCTGGGAAGGTGGCTCAGTGGTAGAGCACTCGCCTTGTATGCCTGAGGCCCTGGGTTCAATTCCTCAGCACCACATAAGCAAAAAGAAAAAAGCCAGAAGTGGCTCTGTGGCTCAAGTGGTAGAGTGCTAGCCTTGAGCTGAAGAGCTGAGGGACAGCACCCAGGCCCAGAGTTCAGGCCCCATGACCGGACCCCCCCCCAAAAAAAAATCTCATGTTTTTTTCTGGCTAGCTTTGAACCATGAACTTCAGATCTCAGTAGCTAGGTTTTGAACTTGGCCTATGCTTGCTAAGCAGTTGCTATACCACTGAGTCACATTTCCAGCCCAATTAAAGGGTTTTTAAATACATGTCTCAACACTCATATACTTCCATAGATAATTTTACCATCCCAATATTCTTAAGGGTGTAATCATTTCAACAAGACACAGCTATTAATTATCAAGGTATTAATTTCTATCACAACCATTAATAACGTTAATAAAATTCATATTTACTACCAGTTCTTTAAACTGACGTGATTCTTTTCAAAATTCCAAGTCACTTAGCTTTTTAAAAAATTATACTTGATATCATCACAATTTTAAGTACATGCAACAAACAAATATTGCTCTTCATTACAGAAGCCTCATGGTGTAGGAAGGGGTTGTGCTAAGGACTGAGTTCTACAGAAAGACCTCCATAAAGCTGGCAACTGCCATGGAAGGGGAAGTGTGCTTCCAAAGCTCTTACCTTTGAGGTTAGAATCAGAAGGCAAAACGCCAGGACTGCTGGCATCCTTATGATTGCAAAAAGCAGCTTATAGGTGTCTGTGATGCCTTGTGTCTCTTCTTTCACTACCGGTACTTCTCGGTTTTCTTTTTTCAAAAGGGCAACTAATGTCGTTGTGATTAAAAATACAGTTCCCCAGAAAAAAAGAAAATCTGAAATTAAGAATTTTTAAGTCTGTAATTAACTTTTGAAATGAATAATTACTCTAAATAATACACAACTTTTCCCAAGGGACATAGGTGCCTATGCTCGAGGCATAGCAGACCAACAGTCCTCACTCTGTTTACTATATTGACTCAAAAAATAGTGATACTTACCAAAGAAAAGGAAGGTTACAGACAGGTAGCGCATGACTGTGCTGAATGAAACAAAAGCATAGCATACCAGTTCAGACAAAGGTGTGTGTGGGGGGGGGGGGGGGGAGGGGATTTTCATTCTTTTTTTTTTTTTTTGGTCGGTCGTGGGGCTTGAACTCTGGGCCTGGGCGCTGTCCCTCAGCTCTTCAGCTCAAGGCGAGCACTCTACCACTTGAGCTACAGCGCCACTTCCCGGGAGGTGATTTTCAAAGCATGCAGCATCCACCAGTGAAGTCACCTCACACTCCCCAACCATGGCATTACTTCAGCAACTCAGACAATAAAGAACATATCACTTTTTTTTATCTGCTCAAGAGTAATACCTCTTTTAACATAGTAGCAGATAAGTAACTTCCTTGTACTTGTAGGTGTGGGATGGCTGTTATAGTGAAAGATAGCTGGCCTATATTACAAGCTGACTGGTGAGCAAGTGTGCCCTGGTGTTGACAGTCACTAATAACGTGCATGCCATGTGCCACATATGCCAGTGTTTTACACATATTATCTCCTTTACCACAACCCCATATATGAGGCTCTCCCTAACCCCGCTCCAGATCAAACTGCCTACAGTCACATCCTAAATGGCAAATGTGTGACCTGATACCTGATGCAAAACCCAAGCCATGTTAATCTTGCTGAAAAACATGTTAACTAGCTGCCACGAAGTACTGAAGACCTCCTCTCAGTTTCTGCAGCTGTAAAATAACACGATTTGGCTATGCCACCTTTTTCTTCCTTTCTTTCCCTTCCCTCCTGCTCTCCTCCATTCCACATCCTCCTCCTTTCCTTCTCCCCCTCCTCTCCACTCCTCTTTCCTTCCTCTGCTCTCCTTCATTCCACACCCCTCTTCTCCTTTCTGATTTCCTTCTCCCTCTCCTCTTCACTCCTTTCTTCCTCCTGTCCTCTTCTCCTTACCTCCTCAGCCCTCCAACCAGCTGGGTGCTGGTGATTCACAGCTGTAATCCTAGTTACTCAAGAGACTGAGATCAAGGATTGAAATTTAATTTGAAGCCAACCAGGGCAGAAAAGTCCTAAAGACGCTTTTGTCTTTAATTAACCAGCAAAAAGCTGGAAGTGGAACTGTGGCTCAAGTGGAAGAGGGTCAGCTTTGAGTGCAAAAGCTAAGCAAGAGCCTGAGGTGCTGAGTCCAAGCCCCAATACCGACAGAAAAATAAAAAAAAATATCTATAAATGTGAATGTCTAATGCATTCTTCTCTCTTCTGTTCTAGCACTTCTACATCGGTGATCTCAGCTTCCAGTCACATGCTGGTTCCGGCCTAATGACATAGTTTCTATAGACCTAACTAGTTTTTTTTTTTTTTTGTCAGTCGTGGGGCTTGAACTCTAAGCCTGGGTGCTGTCCCTCAGCTCTTCAGCTCAGGGCTAGCACTCTACCACTTGAGCCACAGCGCTACTTCTGGCCTTTTCTGTTTATGTGGTACTGACGAATCCAACCCCAGGCCTCATGTTTGCGAGGCAAGTATTTTACTGCTGAACCACCTTCTGAGCCCCTAACTAGCATTTTTAAAGTAGGAAAATAAACAAGAAGGGAATTAGCATCTCAACCAGAGTATATTTAAGATCTAGCAATCCTGGGCTCCCTGACACAAGAAAATAAGTCATTAGAAAAGAAGCTCCTTTCTATTCACATTACTCATCTACCTGCTCATTATTGTGACTTAGAAATCTACATCATAAACTATGATGAGATTCTTGGGAGAGAAAATTTCCAGGTTTAACTTAATTATAACACTTACAACCCTGTTGCCAAATAAGCATTCAGCATTTAAAAAATTAAAACAAGCAAACTTTAGACTGCCAATTCTGGAAATAAAACACTCTTGGAGTAGGCTGGAGTTTTTCAGACATCAGGTGTCATAATATTTTTTTCTCTGGAAAAAAAGGAAGAAATAAAGGAAAAAAAACAGATGGGAGAGAGGGAGAGAAAAAAATAAAGGAAGGAAAAAATAAAGAAAAAATAAAGGAAGGAATAAATAAAGCCTTATATCCAGATTTCAAGGGCTTTCCTGAAGTTTTTCCTAATTTCCTACCAATTGTATGAATTTAGATCAGGAATCAGAAATGCCTCAACTACAAGTCTATCTCTACCTGTCACTTGACCTCAGTTCCTCATTGCAAAAAAACGAAGAAACTGAAATAAATTATCTTTTCAAGTAATAAAACTTTATGTTCAAACTTTTTTGTTCTTTTGGGTCTATCATTTCTTGTACCTTAAAAGGTCTCTTTTCTAGAGGAAAAGAGTTTAGAGAAGACTCTTGAGAATAGAAAAGGCCTATTTCTGAGTTCAGGACTGTCCTGCAAGTTTGAAAGAGCCAACCTCCATGTAATTGAGGCTTTGCTCTAAGGGCTTCAGCTCTCTTCCTATTCTCTTATGCAAAATTTCTGCCTTCTGGATGTCAAGTACTTCCTTCTCAGTATACTCCATCTCTACTTATTGGCAATACTCAAAACAGTGATAACCCTAGAGCACATTTAAATTTTTAAAAGTTATGTGTCCTTCTAATATTCAGATTTTCCTCCTCTCCTTTCTTTATCCTGATTGAGAGTGCATGGTTCTTTCTGTTTAAAATCCCTGAAAACCACTGGTCAGGATTTGGAACTTAAATTCAATCTCCAACAAGCATTTGCCTCACATACAAGAATGCTGGTTCAATCCCATGCAAACTTTTACTCATCAAGATGGTATGTGTAATTAGAAGGAAAATAGAAAACAGAAAGTCTCTAACCTGTTTTTTATTTATTTATCTTTTTTTTTTTTTTGTCGGTCGTGGGGCTTGAACTCTGGGCCTGGGCACTGTCCCTCAGCTCTTCAGCTCAAGGCGAGCGCTCTACCACTTGAGCTACAGCGCCACTTCCGGTTTTCTGGTGGTTTATTGGAGATAGGAGTCTCAAGGTCTCTCCTGCCCGGGCTGGCTTTGAACGGCGATCCTCAGATCTCAGCCTCCTGAGTAGCTAGGATTACAGGAGTGAGCCACCAGCGCCCGGCCTGTTTTTTATTTTTATAAATCCCCAATGCTGGTGCCTGTTATATGTAAGGCACGTACTCTGCCACTAAGCTACACTGCCAAGCCTAAGAACTCTTTAACTAAAATGTTTGAGCCAAAAACAGAAGTCCACTTTCTACAGACACAAAAAGTTAAATTTTAAAAAAGCTGTCAAAGACTGTCCTGAAGAACAAAGTTCAAATTCTACGGTCAAACAGACACACAAAAGAGCAAGTCATAATAAAACGCTCATAAGTCAAATGCTATCTAAAATGAGAATTCTTACTCGCTCTAAGGCAGCCAATGGCTGGACACTTTCCGTTCCCATAAAAGTCCATTTCCCCATCCCTTGTCCTCAAGACTGCCTTATTCAGGTGGCCTTTAGAACCAACTCTAATTCAGTTTGAATGAAATGGCCCGGTTCCCCCAGCAAATGGCGAGATGAGGACACAGCGCTCAGGGATGAGAAAGGGAAGGACAGCAGGAAGCGAGTAATCAATCCAACCAACACACCAGGGAAAAGCTGAGCCACATGTGCTAGACTTTTTTTTCCCCCTGTTCCAATGTACATCTGTGTATTCCGCAAGGGCCAGTGAATCCCAGGCTCAGTTTGGTTATTCTGCCACTTCCTGTCTGCTGACAGATCAATAAGGTGGGCTCCTATGTAGTTCGCTGGCTTTACTGACACTCTGGTTAACGTCTTTTTTAACCAAAATCACAAAAAATACTTCGAGCCATCCCTCCCACCCCCCCAAAGATTCCCAGTCCCTGAAATAACGTGCTTCACATACTGTCAAGACAATTCATCACCCTAAGATGACCGAGCAGCATGACGTTTCCATACACTACCTGCAAGAGTAACGATTCCCCGGGGCTGAGGCTGAAACCGTAAATATTTGTTACAAAAGTCCGCGGATTCCAGGGCCAGAAACAAAACATTGCCCAGAAAGTAGCCTGCGGTCTGGCCCACCGAATTACAAGTGGAAGCGTACCCCACGTTCTCCCGGGATAGCATCGTTAACGCCCAGCCGTCAACAGCGATGTCCTGCGTGGCGGCCAGGAACTCAAACAGAAAGAATGTCACCGTGAGCGCCACAACGTCGGGGGGCCGGCCGTCGGTGTTCCCCAGCAAACGGTCCACCTGCGTGGACAGGTAGATCATGAAGAGTCCTAGTACGTACTGGGTCGGGACCAGCCACGATTTGCGACGGCCGAAGCTCTTCAAGTAGACGGCGTCCACCAAGGGCGCCCAGAGCAGCTTGAGACTGAAGGGCCAGAAGACGAAGCTGAAGAAGGCTTGGTCCGTGTAGCTGACGTTCTTGCTCTGCAGGATGAGGGGGACGCTCCCCGCCAGGCCCAGGGGGATGCCCTGCAGCACGTAGAGCAGCAGCAGCAGCAAGATGCTGCCCAGCTCGGCGCGGTAACTCCGAGGGCCCTTCGGCGAGTTCCCGGGGCCAGCGTCCCTCAAAAGTGCTTCTCGGTCCCCTTCTCCGCCCATGGCGTCCAGCTGGCCGTCGTCCCAGCCGCCCGGCGGCAGGGGGCCGCTCTTCACTTCCGGACAGTGGTTCAGAGTCCCCGGCCGCCGCTGCCGGCTGCTGTCCTTGTGGGAGACGGTGGGCGACATGTCAGGGACGACGCAGAGCCCCGCTGGAGGTGGCCCGGGGACGAGCGTCTTGGATCCGGCAGGTCCCGAGTCCCAGGCAGCCGCGCTGGACCAGGGTCTCGGGGGCTAAGACCGCGACCAGGCGGGGCCCGAGGCAACCAGGAGGGCCCGGGAAGGGGGCCGGTTCCCGGCCGGTGGTCCCGACGAGCGGCTTCGGGGAGGCGGTAGGCGCCGCCCGGGCAGCCGCACCGGGCTCGGGGCTGCGGGAGGGGGCCGTGTTGTCGCGATGGAAACGGGCCCTGGAGTACGGCGGGACAGAACGGCCGGCGTCTCGCCCGCCGCGAGCCCCGGCCGGTATTGGGGCGGCAGAGAACCCTTTCTCCCCAGTACTCCGGCGGCGCCGGCCAACTTCCGGTCTGGCGCCTCTGGAAGTGGTCCCAGCCTCAAATCAGTCCTCGCCCCGTTTCAGAGCTAGCCAATCAGGACCCGTTCCGGCGGTCCGTCTCAGGGTTAGCCAATCAGGATGCGCTCCGGCTGCCGAGCGGCAGAGTCAAGCTCCTCCGGAACCCTTAATCGAGGAGGCGCGGAACTCCGGGAGGATTCACACTGGCGTACCCTACCCGAGCGTGCTGGACAGGGGCCGCGAGAGCTCGGGCTCCGCGAGCGCATGCGCCAGCCTGGACAGCGTGGGCCTTAGGGATTGGGTCCGCGCTCTGCCAAACTGCGACTGCGCGGGCGGCGGGCGAACTTACCCCGGGCTGGCTGGATCCGTAGACGGCGCTGTCGGGTCCTAGTGGACTCGGCCTGCAGTCCCAGCTACTCCGTTGGCTGAGCTCCGGGGATCGTGGCGCTGGGCTCTCATCCCCAATTCATTAGCAGAAAGCCGAAGTGGAGCTGTGACCCAAGTGGTACAGCGCCGTTCTTGAGCAAAAGCCCTGGACCTTGAGTTCAAACCCCAGAACCGGCACACACACACACCTCACCGAAAAAGGAAACAGGTTGCCACCAGGAACTAGGTGAAGGGGGAGGTGGATATTTGATTTTGCAAAAGGAAAAATTACAACTTGTTAACTAGTCGGTTATATAGTATTTGGGTATATTTAACAATATTAACTGAAAATGATTAGGATGGCAGAAGGCCCCACATTTAACACTTAGCAATGAAAGAGGACAATTTTCTGCTTTACAATCTGCCCACCAGGTGCCTCTAGTGCACACCGGTAATCCCAGCTACTTAGGGACGCTGAGATCTGAGCGTTACAGTTTGAAGCTAGCTGGGAGAATAGTCTGTGAGGCACTTCAGTTAACCACATTATTTCACTGGTCCTAATTTCCTTTTGTAAAGTGTGGTAAGAACATCAAATCACTTCGCTATACTCATAGATTATTTAGAATAAGGTGAGTTTGGCAAGTGTTGTCTCATTTGCGTCTTCATATCTAGACTAGATCCTGACATCGTGAACACAGTAGATGTGGCTAAGTTCTAACATTTATTTTACACTTTGTTAAGGGGAAACCTTTCAGAGTAACTTTTATTTTCTCCCCCTGGGCCTGGGGGCTTGAATTTAAAGCCTGGACACTGCCTCTAACTTTTTTGCTCAAGGCTGGTGCTCTACCAATTGAGCCATTCCTCCACCCCCAGCTTTTTGGTGGTTAATTGGAGGTAAGAGTCTCAAGGACTTACCTGCCAGGCTGGCTTTGAACTCCGATCTTCAGGTCTCAGCCTCCCGAATGGCTAGGATTACAAATTTGAGTTACTGGCTACTTGCTCCAAGTAACTTCTCAACTTAGATTTGGGACTTCAGTTACTCAAATCCAATGTAACATTTGTCTGGGTAGGGAACCTCTATTCTCAAAACAACCGTAGTAAAAGCACTCCTTGTAGAAAAAGCTCAGTCCCAGTGCCTGGCCCAGTGGCAGCTCCCAAACTCCTTTCTTTTTGGAAATACCATGTGCCATAGTGTCACTGGATACAGTTGAGGGTTTGTGAAGTTTTCCTCTAAAAGTAGGGACTCTTTACTTAGGGTCTTTGAATTTGATCACAGAATAAGAATTTCTGGACAAGTCACCATGGTGAGAAAACTTGGCAGAGCTTTATCGAGTAAGTAAGGAAGCAACCAAGCAGACAGAAAGGCAAAGACAAACTAACTGTGTGGGTGTTCTGGAGGAGAGACAGAGATATACAGCTCCTTGGCTGTTAGGGGAATTTATAAATAAGGCAAGGGATATGACTCCAAAGTTATGCAAAGATAGGTGTTTTATCGTTGCTCCAGTTATTCCTGGTTTAATTTTCTGAGTTTCTGGATTTCTGGGCATTGTTTCCAGGTAAGAACGCATTCTGCCATAAAACAGATCCTTATCCTTGAGATAAGGAAGGTATCCTGTTTGCATTATGGTAGAAGGTTAAGTTTTGGGGGAGCAGTTCTCTCAGGAAGGTATACATCCTGCCAAATGTTAATTCTTGGGGGTGAGAAACCTATCTCTCAGGAAGAAATGCATCCTGTAGTCGCTCTTTGTTTCTGAGTTGCCTTCATCAATTTTGAATCAATTTTTCCAGGCTCATTATCCTCTAAATGACTTTGGTCCCTTAATCTTAAGGGCAGTAGATGAATGAAGATCTCCTGTGTTTGCTGTGAGTTCACCATAGCTCATTTTCCCCTATACTATGCTGCCTCAATAGAACTCCCCTCCCTCCAAGTCCGGCTTGAACGCAGTGGCGCCATTTCTGGCTTTTTCTGTGCGGTACTGAGGAATCGAACCCAGGGCCTCAAGCATGCTAGGCCTGCACTCTACTGCTAAGTCAGTCCCAGCACCCTACCGAGCTTTGAAAGGACCTAAGGGATCAAATCTCACAGCGATGCCCAGCCAGGGCCAAGGTCCCCCGGATCCCAGCAGCCAAGAGGCCAGCCCCCGACGGCTAGCCATCGGGCGCAGGTGCAGCCCGGGCGGTGCCCCGGGCTGGCCACACTGGCCGGACTCGGAGCCAGCCCGAAGCTCCACTCCCGGGCCCAGGCACCGCGGCTTCCCGGCGCCGCGCGGGGCGGGGCCGTCACTCGGCCCCTCCCCCGAGGGCGGCCGCGCCCCCCGCGAGCGGCGCCCGTGCGCGGGGGGCGGGGTCCGGAGGCCGCGAGTTTCGGGGCTTGGGGGCGTGGACTAGTGGCGTGGCGTGGCCTGGCTCTGGGAGTGGGACCTACATTCGCGCCCCTCCCCTGAGGGCTCTCGACCTCGCGGGGTGTTAAAACCCGGGCGGCCGGGGAGCGGGGCCTTGGCCGCGGGTTTCCGTTACTGGGGTGGTGGGCCTGCACGTGGGTGAGGGCGTGGCCTTCACTCGGGCCCCTCCCCCGAAGGCGGGCCGCTGGATCGCTCTGGCTGCGGGCGGCTCCTCCCCGCGGGGGCGGGGGGTCGCGGGTTTCCGTTCCTGGGGGCGTAGTCTGTTGTGGGGGGCGTGGCCTTCACTTGGGCCCCTCCCCCGAGGGCAAGCCGCTTGGCCGCGCTGGCTCGGTGTGGCTCCTCCTCCGAGGGGTGGAGTCATGGGGCGCGAGGCCGCCAGTTTCCGTTTGTGGGGGCGTGGCCTTCACTCGGACCCTCCCCTGAGGGCGGGCCGCTCGCCGCGCGGTCTGCGTGCGGCTCCACCCCCGGGCGGAAGCGGGAGGCGGTGGTGGAGGCCGAAGCGGAGGCGGGAGCGAGCGCGCGCGGCTAGTCTTCCCTTCTCTCCCACGGGCGCGTGAGGGCCGCCGCTCGCGTCTGCTCTTGGGTTCGGCGTCCCACGGCCGCCGGCTGGCTCCTCTCCGCCCCGGCTGCTCGGCGCCCAGACCAGGCCTCGGCCCTCAGCGCCAGCCTCCCGTACCTTCCCGCCCCGCCTCGCCTCGCCCCGCGCTCGGGCCGCCGCGGCCTCTATGGCTCTGTGCAACGGAGACTCCAAGGTCAGTGCCCCGGGGGTCCGGGCCTCCCCGCCCGGCGGACGCGGGCCCCGGCCCGTCTCGTCGAGCGCGCCGCGGGCCCCTCCGCTGTGGCGGGCTTTGTTGATTTGTCTGCGCCCCGAGCCGGGGCTGCGTCGGACCCCGCGGCCGCGCCGCCGGGCATCGGGGGCCCAACGTGGGTGCGCGGGGCTCTGGGCCCTTCCTCCGCTCATCCGGCGGTGTGGGGACCCCGGGTCGTGGGATCCGTCCGGCTTGGGGAGCCGCCTTGGGGACACCGGGCTATGGAGTCCGTCAGGCTTGGGGGGGCGCCGCGGGGGTCGACCGGCCCGGCCTCCAGGTCCCGCTTGGCCTCGGTGAGGCCGGTGCGGTCCTCGGGGGCCCCCGGGCCGGTGGGCGCGCCGCCCCCTTCGACTTCCCCCCAAGCCGGGCTGGGGTTGATACCCCGTCCCGCGGAGGCGGAAAGCGTCCAGCCGATGTTACCCGCTGCCGGCTCCGTTTCCCTAGTGCGGGATCCGCTTTCCCGCGCTCGGGGTCCCCGCACGGAGCCGCGGCCCGAGCTCCCGAGCCCCGGGACTGCGGGTGTATATATGTATGTATGTATATATGTATGTGTGTGTGCGCGCGCGCGTGTGGCGGTGACAGCTTCCCTCCCCTCCCACCCCGCGTGTCTGTCGAACCTTCCTCCTCCCGTCGGCCTGGAGTCGGCGTCCGGGCCTCGGCCTGGAGTTAACCTTTGCTTCCCGGGCTCCCGGGACCGGAAGCGGCCGGCAGCAGGTGGGTCCAGGGCTGCCGTGGACTCGGTTTGGGGAACTTAGGTTTCGTGGCTTCTCGGCTTCTGGGCAGGAATTGCTTCTCCAGTCGGAGTTGTAATATTCTGACCACAGAGGCGCCTCTTGGAGGGTCCTTCTTGGGAATGGCTGCTCAGTACTCGGCCATCCTTCAAGAACAGTCACTCAACAAGTGAGTCAAGAGTCTGAGGCGTTGCTGTACTCTTATTATTATTAACTGTAACGGTGATGTACAGAGGGGTTACAGTTACAAAACTCAGATAAAGAATTCACTTATTTTTGGACAGTATCACCCCTTGCGTTCTCCCAGTTTTCCCCTCCCATCCCCACTCTTAAATTGTATAGTTCATTTTCATATTACTATTTTTAATTATCTGCAAGTAGTTGTACAGAGGAGTTACCTTAAACCTTGAGTTTTCTCAGGATGGTAAAGACACATCTGTAGTTCCTCCAGCCTCTGTAACCTTGTATACTAGTAGATTCGAAAAGCACTGTTTTTTGCTTTAATTTGAACCTTTGAACTCAGTGGTTCATTGTCAGTAGATGGATAAGCTGCCCAATTGGAAGTATTCAAGCCTAATCCAGAGGCTCTGAAAAAGACTGTATTTGAGAAGAGTTTTCACAGAATTAAGTGATGGCAGAAAGGTCAGGATTCAAGTATAGTAACAGTTCCTAGTAAATAACTGGAATGCGGTATTTCT